TAGTTACTGGATACAAGTCTCTACTTAGTTACTAGATACAAGTTTCTACGTAGTTACTGGATACAAGTTTCTACCTAGTTACTGGATACAAGTCTCTACATAGTTACTGGATACATCTTGCTACATAGTTACTGGATACAAGTCTCTACTTAGTTACTAGATACAAGTTTCTACGTAGTTACTGGATACAAGTTTCTACCTAGTTACTGGATACAAGTCTCTACATAGTTACTGGATACATCTTGCTACATAGTTACTGGATACAAGTCTCTACATAGTTACTGGATACAAGTTTCTACCTAGTTACTGGATACAAGTCTCTACATAGTTACTGGATACATCTTGCTACATAGTTACTGGATACAAGTCTCTACATAGTTACTGGATACAAGTTTCTACCTAGTTACTGGATACAAGTCTCTACATAGTTACTGGATACAAGTTTCTACCTAGTTACTGGATACAAGTCTCTACATAGTTACTGGATACAAGTTTCTACATAGTTACTAGATACAAGTCTCTACTTACGTAGTTACAGGATACATGCCTCTACAAAGTCTCTAACAAGCTACTGGATATGTCTTTCTTTTAACAACTATTAATATCTGTTTGGGATTAAGTTCGTAACGGTAACAAATATTTGTATCACTGTATTACATTTGCTTGATAAACTACAATGCAAAAACTAGTTTCTCTAATATTTGTTTACAGATTTTTATCAACTTAAATATTAAAATACTTTCATAAAAGTAATAGAATTTAAATCTTAAATTTTTGAAACTACTAAACACTACACACACATCTTTATTAATCTCACAAGCCTTCAAATACCTCACTTTATCTTCCTACATAACTCAAGACTCACTTATATCTTTTTGCAGATCTCAAGATTCACTTATATCTTCCTACAGAACTCAAAACTCACCTAATCTTCCTACAGAGCTCAAAACTCATCTATATCTTCCTACAGAACTCAAAACTCACTTATATATTTTTTACAGAACTCAAGACTCACTTATATCTTTTTGCAGATCTCAAGATTCACTTATATCTTTTTGCGGATCTCAGGATTCACTTATATCTTCCTACAGAGCTCAAGACTCATCTATATCTTCCTACAGAACTCAAGACTCACTTATATCTTTTTACAGAACTCAAGACTCACTTATATCTTTTTGCAGATCTCAAGACTCATTTATATCTTTTTGCAGATCTCAAGATTCACTTATATCTTCCTACAGAACTCAAAACTCACCTATATATTTTTACAGAACTCAAGACTCACCTATATCTTCGATGTCAAGTCTGTCCATCAACCACTCCACAAGATCGTATCCTGAAAAAGAAATGCAATTCGTGGATTAAAAGCTGCTTCTGTCACATGTTTAACAATGTTAACAATGCTTCGGTTACTTGTTTAACAATGTTAACTATACTTCTGTTACTTGTTTAACAATGTTAACAATGCTTCTGTCACTTGTTTAACAATGTTAACTATGCTTCTGTCATTTGTTTAACAATATTACAATGCTTCGGTTACTTGTTTAACAATGTTAACAACGCTTTGGTTACTTGTTTAACAATGCTAACAATGCTTCTGTCACTTGTTTTCTGAAGTTGTTAATGTTAAAAATGCTTCTGCAACTTGTTTAACAATGGTAACAATGCTTCTGTCACTTGTTTAACAGTGTTAACAATGCTTCGGTTACTTGTTTAACAATGTTAACAATGCTTCTGCAACTTGTTTAACAATGTTAACAATGCTTCTGCAACTTGTTTAACAATGTTAACAATGCTTCTGCAACTTGTTTAACAATGTTAACAATGCTTCGGTTACTTGTTTAACAATGTTAACAATGCTTCTGTCACTTGTTTAACAATGTTAACTATGCTTCTGTCACTTGTTTAACAATGTTAACAATGCTTCAGTTACTTGTTTAACAGTGTTAACAATGCTTCTGTCACTTCTTTAACAATGTTAACAATGCTTCTGCAACTTGTTTAACAATGTTAACAATGCTTCGGTTACTTGTTTAACATTGTTAACAATGCTTCTGTCACTTGTTTAACAATGTTAACTATGCTTCAGTTACTTGTTTGACAATGTTAACAATGCTTCTGTCACTTGTTTAACAATGTTAACTATGCTTCTGTCACTTGTTTAACAATGCTAACAATGCTTCTGCCACTTGTTTAACAATGTTAACAATGCTTCGGTTACTTGTTTAACAATGTTAACAATGCTTCTGTCACTTGTTTAACAATGTTAACAATGCTTCTGTCACTTGTTTAACAATGTTAACAATGCTTCTGTCACTTGTTTAACAATGTTAACAATGCTTCGGTTACTTGTTTAACAATGTTAACAATGCTTCTGTCACTTGTTTAACAATGTTAACAATGCTTCGGTTACTTGTTTAACAATGTTAACAATGATTCTGCAACTTACATATGTATTAAAATAAAACATAACTAGTTAAAATGCTATTGTTATACGAGAAATTTAAAGATGATTTGAATCAAATAAATATTTTAGAATTAGACTACATATTAACTGTGTATATTTGGTAAGTTTTATCGTGTTGTACTGTATAGGTAATTATATTTATCAATAGTCTAAATTATTATATTTTAGGAGTTTCTTTTTTTTTTGTTCCAGCCTGTATATAAAAATGTAGCTACCATTTTAGTAAAATAAATCGATAACCAGAAAATGTTCATCCCTAGTGACGCTTAACAGCCGTCTTAATATCCATCCAAGACGAGGTTCGTGAGTCACGGTCGCCATCCATGACGAAACTACTAACATGCTAGTTGATCCTCAAAAGACTTAAGATATATATATAATACCTTCTACCTCGTGGCTGGTAAACATCGATTTTAACCATCACGATGCTCATGAATTGTGGTATATATATATATATATCGGTCACAAGATTTGCCATACATGGTACTCAGCTATCATAAGACTCATGATACCCATTCATTAGTTTTGATCCTGGATCAATCCTGTATATTCTGTGTTCACACACTTCGAAATGCAGTGATTGTCGTTTCTTTGTAATATTATCATGTTTTCTTTTAACTTCTTTGTCTTGCTTCGTGACATTTGATGCAGTAGTTATAACATGTAAAGTTTCGTCGAGCTACCTGTTCTGCCCTTTGACCTTAAAAATGGCAGGTTTCTAAGTAGTATGGATTTGGACCATCCAATCGATTGGAAATTGACCAACATAATATTTAACACAGACAATTATATAACAAGTAAGGAATGTTGAAGGTTAACTTGTGAGAAATTTTAACATCTCCAAAGGGCACTTTAATGTAAACTGTTTTCTGACCATCTGTGTCCTCAAGGGAATTCCAAGGCCTGGTATTAAGCTGTAATTGTTCATTTTTCCTCAGAAGACAACGCCCAACGTCAATGTGTCAAAACTAGTATCCTGTATATCACTTTTGATAGAATATAGTTCCTCCAAAGGTGTATATTTTGTTTTAACTATTTCTTCTCGTTCTTAACCTCTGTTATCTCAAACAGTACGTGGATCTATATGGTTGGATGCTGTGAACATTGTGTTTTATGACCTCTTAGTATTGGTTAAATGTTTGTAACGGATGATGTGAACACTGTGTTTTATGACCTCTTAATATTGGTTAAATGTTTGTAACGGATGCTGTGAACATTGTGTTTTATGACCTCTTAGTGTTGGTTAAATGTTTGTAACGGATGCTGTGAACATTGTGTTTTATGACCTCTTAGTATTGGTTAAATGTTTGTAACGGATGATGTGAACACTGTGTTTTATGACCTCTTAGTATTGGTTAAATGTTTGTAACGGATGCTGTGAACATTGTGTTTTATGACCTCTTAGTATTGGTTAATGTTTGTAACGGATGCTGTAAACATTGTGTTTTATGACCTCTTGTATTGGTTAAATGTTTGTAACGGAAGCTGTGAACACTGTGTTTTATGACCCCTTAGTATTGGTTAAATGTTTGTAACGGATGCTGTGAACATTGTGGTTTTATGACCTCTTAGTATTGGTTAAATGTTTGTAACGGATGCTGTGAACATTGTGTTTTATGCAAACATTTAACCAATACTAAGAGGTCAATGTTCACAGCATCCGTTATGTTTTATGCAAACATTTAACCAATACTAAGAGGTCGCCTTAAGGCTTCGACAAAATCCTATATTCAAAGCATGCCGAAAACTTTTTAAACCTGTGTATCTTGGATCCGTTCAACAATAAGACATAACACGCGGAATTCTTGAACAATGGTAATGGTACTATTTTTATTGTCACATAATACCATTTCTTTGTTTACAATAACTTACGGTACGCAGACTCTAAATACAACTCGTCAAATGATGTCACATATATATATAAAGACGAGGTACGCAGACTCTAAATAGAACTGGTCAAATAATGTCATATATATATATAAAGACGAGGTACGCAGACTCTAAATAGAACTGGTCAAATGATGTCATATCTATATCTATATAAAGACGAAATGTGTGTTTGTTTGCACCTAACTCCTCCGAGCCTATTGGGCCAATATCAATCTAAATTTATATGTAAACACTATGAACTATGGGAAATGTCCTAATTGAACTTAAACATATTTCTATTTCTGTTGGTTAATTACTCCCAGCCTATTGAGTCAATCTCAAACAATCTTGGCAGGTTGACACTTTAGACTATGTTGAATATTCTAAAGTAATTCAAGGTCAAAGTATGAAAGTTGCTGGACTGTTTCTCAAACAACCACGCTTTTCTCATGGTCAGTGAGATGTAGGGTGTTCAAGAGTGGGATCACCTCAAAATCTTTATTTGTTGGTAGATGGAAATCAAACTGCAAATGTTGTTTATGAAGAAGCTTTGTTATAATTTTAAACTTTTGAGATAAAGTTTATGTTCAAGTTATTACTTTGAAATATATGATTGCTGTTAAACTTACATTGTTTAAGTTAACTTGTAACTTATAAAAACGTGGGGAAGGCATACAGTAATCAACTTCAAAGATTTTCAAGGAAATAGCGAAATAAACAACAAAATTCTGAGGTCGAAGCTTTCCACAATATCAAATAAAAAACACAGGAGATAATATTTTCTTCCCAGCTCTAGTTTCAAGGGGACAACAAGGTGACCTGTATCAATATAGTGACTCACGGTCATTTGTTGCCAAGTTACGTCACAGAACCAGACACCCAATCATAACACGTATATATATATCACAAGGAAAGCTATATTTGTGGGTCTTTGTTAAACGTCCTTTTTCTTGGCCTGATAAATCAGTGCTGTCATGTGACGCCGTGATCTATCTTCGTTTCAAATAAATCACTTTTGTGTTTAGCAAAAGCATATCATGTTTACCAGTAACTAGCCCTACAAAATGTTAATTTTTTTTATCTGAAAGCCCAAAATTTGAAACTCGAAATGACAACAATAAACAAATCTTGTGGATATTAAGGTAACAAAATTTGTTTTGATAGTTTAGTGAAGATGGTAATGTGTTGTTTGTTTAGAAGTTTCGAGCAATGCTACACGAGAACTATCTATGCCCAATTTTGAACTGATAGATTAGAGGGAATGTAGCTAGTCAACAGCACTCACCGCCAACAATTTGGCAACAGTTGTCAGATCGACTAGTAGGATTTGACCGTGAATATCATACAGCGCACGCGGTTCCAAAGATCTAAGCGCAGTTTTTGCAACAACGGGACACGAACCGTGAACCCACAAAGTACTAGAACAAGATTGTGTGTTGTCTTGCCGCGTATAGTGAAGGTTAAAGTATATACTTCGTGTAATGAAATATAGATCTACTCACCCATAAAGGCACATGGAATGGATGTGAGGAACAGTTTCTGGCTCCTCACTGGAACCCCTGTTTCCGGATGTTGCATCTCTCGGATCAGCTGCTCCATCTGACGTACAAAATAAAAAACACTCGGTTATACGTAAATTAATTGATGTCTATTCGAGTTAAGTTTTATAGAATAAGAAGTAGTCATACATAATTAATAACAGCCGTGACTAATTCTTACAGTATTAATAACTAGTTGAATTATTTATTGAATTTACAAACATTTAAAGGTTGTTTACTTCATTTTTATTGATTGTGCCCCATCACTAGGGCTTAGCAAGCGTGACTATTTTGGTATGTTATTTTCTAACCATCCGCATAATGATGAAAATACGTGTCCCAAAACTATCCTCAAACCAGTGTTTACTAACCGCTATGACTTGTTGATGTTTTACATTCTATTTTCCACATGTAATAATGCCCAGAACTAGTTTTTAACATTCACCAGAACAAATATTACGACAATATTTTGTTTAGTTCTCCTACTAGTTTTATTTAATTTATTTTAATGAGAGCGTCCTCTAACAACAACAAGACAAAACTGTGCGATTTCTCGAGTACTATCATGAATTGGAGTTTAGATTCTTTATCAGTAATAAGTTATATGAATTTTATGACAAGGAAGGTAATTAATTACTCATAAATAGTCACATCTGATTAAACATTTGATAGCTATTAACGATTTACTATTCTATGTATGCAAGTTTTTTTATTTTGATGAACGTGTTAGGTAATCAAACCATGCCAGAAAAACAAAAAAGCAAACTTTGTAAACCTTACTACAGAATGATATATCACTGAGGTTCAAACCTTACTACAGAATGATATATCACTGAGGTTCAAACCTTACTACAGAATGATATATCACTGAGGTTCAAACCTTACTACAGAATGATATATCACTGAGGTTCAAACCTTACTACAGAATGATATAGTACTGAGGTTCAAACCTTACTACAGAATGATATACAACTGAGGTTCAAACCTTACTACAGAATGATATATCACTGAGGTTCCGTATATCATTCTGTAGTAAGGTTTAACTGAGGTTCAAACCTTACTACAGAATGATATATCACTGAGGTTCAAACCTTAATACAGAATGATATACCACTGAGGTTCAAACCTTACTACAGAATGATATACCATCGAGGTTCAAACATTACTACAGAATGATATACAACTGAGGTTCAAACCTTACTACAGAATGATATATCACTGAGGTTCAAACCTTACTACAGAATGATATACTACTGAGGTTCAAACCTTACTACAGAATGATATACCACTGAGGTTCAAACCTTACTACAGAATGATATACCAACGAGGTTCAAACTTTACTACAGAATGATATATCACTGAGGTTCAAACCTTACTACAGAATGATATACCACTGAAGTTCAAACCTTACTACAGAATGATATACCACTTAGGTTCAACCTTTACTACAGAATGATATAGTACTGTGGTTCCAACCTTACTACAGAATGATATATACCACTGAGGTTCAAACCTTACTACAGAATGATATATCATTTAGGTTCAAACCTTAATATAGAATGATATACCAATCAGATTCACAAATTCCTTCAGCATGACCTACCACAAAGATGTACGCCTTTCTGTAATATGATATACCACAGACATACACACACACACACATCTTTCTGTAATATGAGATACCACACACACACACATCTTTCTGTAACATGATATACCACACACACACACATCTTTCTGTAACATGATATACCACAGACACACACATCTTTCTGTAACATGATGTACCACAGACACACATCTTTCTGTAATATGATATACCACAGACATACACACACACACACATCTTTCTGTAATATGAGATACCACACACACACACATCTTTCTGTAACATGATATACC